ACACATCGTTCACAGTAGTACGGCTGCAGTCTGTCTGGATTCATCACTTACCTTGAGTTCTATTAAGTGCAGCAGAACGCGTCTTCATCCCCTCTTCAGACTCCTGAGGCGTTACGATTGCTTTCTGCAGGTTTCTGTCTAGAACACTTCATCGTGTGTAGATGTGAGGTTTGAAACTAACTGACTGAATGTGCCTCAGACTGTGTTTCTTATGCTGTGAACGGAGCATAGAACATAGAACATGGAACATGGAGCGTGGAACATGGAGCAATGTTCTATCATGATGTCACGTCTCTATGGTTACAGTGAAGGTATCTAGAATATGGAAATGAGCCTTTAAAGTAAATGAGTGTGTGGATGTTTATTTGTATTGATGGAGCTCATCCACTTTACATGGTGCATTAAACATACTATACTATAACTATGCTATACCTGTTTTTTTTCTATGACCCGTACTTACACAGAGTACTTACACAGACTAACATATAAAAGTACTTACACAGAGACGCGCTAAGGTATTAAAGTACTTACACAGAGACGCGCTAAGGTATTAAGATACTTACACAGAGACGCACTAACGTATAAAAGTACTTACACAGAGACGCACTAACGTATAAAAGTACTTACACAGAGAAACATGATAACATGGTTGTTTGTCGTACACAATGACACACTAACATTTGTTTGTTCACACACACACTAACATGTAGATGTACACAATGGCCCACAAACATTTGTTTGTTCACAGACACACACACAACATGTAGATGTATACAAACAAATGTTAGTGTGTCTTTGTGTACATCTACATGTTAGTGTGTCTGTACTGCTCTCCTTGTGTGTTAGCCAAACTCCATTTGAAGGAATATGGGAGTCAGGATAATCGTCCAAGCTCCAAATGCCTTATTTTACAGCACTGAAAATAAACGATTCAAATTGGAGTTAAAAAACTATTCTTTCGAAGGCGTTTAACATGGCAGCGGATGATTTCTCTGAAACGATCAAAATCTTGCATGCTAACGTAAAAGCGAATTAATTAAGCAACCGATAGCGCCCAGAAGGGGGCGCCAACTGCCCAGTTCCAAGGCAGAACACTCCCCACCTGGTCTCTGTAAAGATGCCTTATATAGACACTGAACAGGACAACAATACAAAAGTCCCAGTCCTACTTCTTCAGACGAAGAACGATCTCAGACACAGGCCTGAGGAACGTCTTGCTTGATCCATGCTTGGTCACTTTGAGCTCTATCTTGCGGACCTTTCCATCCTCACTTGGAAAGGGGCTTGTAACAAGTGCCGTAGGCCAGTCGTTACGAGCTGCTTTGCAGTCTTTCAGTAGAACAACATCCCCGGTTTCGACATTTGGGCATGACTCCAGCCATTTGTGATGAACTTGCAGTGTCTGCAGATACTTTTGCTTCCAGCGAGTCCAAAACTGGTTGGCTAAACTTTGGACCACTGCTGTTTGTAGACATCCTTCTCTGTGAACTTTCCTGGTGGAGGTGATACACTCTACTTCTGAGTCAGGAGCATTGATGGAGTAAGTATGACAGGTGATTCTGGATTAGCAGAAACCGGAACCAGAGGCCTAGAATTGATGATCCCTGTCACTACAGCCATAAGAGTGCACAGAACCTCATGATAAATGTTGAGGGAGTCTGTACGCATAAGCATTGAATCCAAGATTCTGCGTGCCACTCCAATCATGCGCTCCCATGCGCCACCCATGTGTGAAGAGTGTGGAGGGTTAAACTTCCATCTAGCTGCTGCGAGGGCGGAGTTATCAGAGTGTTAAATTAAAGTTTGTCAATCGGCTCAGGCACCGAAAGCAAGCACTGAAATTGGACTCAACTATTCCTAAATAGAGGTTTGGAATAGCTCAAATTCAACGAACGATATATATTTAACTCTGATTCATTATCTAAACAGCTGGGCATTGCGTGGTCTTTGGTTTATTGGAGGCTGTTTTAGCCACAGATTATTGTACACAAGGTGGGTTCTGCTGTGGTCCAGTTTAGAGAGAACTGGAGACACAGATCTATCGCTGGTTCTGGTCTATTTGTGGTATTTGTTCACAGCAAGAAATGAGTGAGTTGTGACATCACGTCTTATCCAATTTAGGAGGAAACGTCAACCCCCAAATCAACTGAAAAGCAGGGTGTTGCGTTCAGGTGCTCGTAAAGTACACTACTGGTGTATCTCTGCCACGACAGTGTTTCAGGTCAAAAGAATCAAACGCAGTTCAACTCTGTAACATAGACACAATCCTTTAAGTACTTTTCTCTCAATGTACTGTACTTGGTCTGAGCGTCAATGGAAGGAAACCTTGTGTGACATGTAGCCCACAGTGAAAGTTTACTATTAGCGTTAACAAAGTAGTGGCCTGCTGACCTCAATGCAGCCAAAACCAAAGGAGAAAAAACATCATCACGTCAGATTTGACAGATTATTAGATTTTCTTTTCAAATCACTTTTGTACTTGTATGAAATGTAGATTTATTTGATTGTCTTTCAAAGACAATCAAATAATCAATCAAATTTATTTGATTGTCTTTCAAAGACAATCAAATAAACACACATGTATATATAAATCTATATTAATGCAGTGGAACCCCTTTTTAATATCAGTAGCCTCCAGAGGTAAAGACCCCAGTTAGCTGATTGCAAAATTAACGAGTAGCTGAATACTATATTATTAAAATATGTTTAATGTATTTTGATGTATTAATCTTTGCTTGTTTAATGCTGATCGATCTATAGTAACAAGTATACTGTAGCGCTCGAGAGCTACAGTCCACCGATGCAACATCTTCTATTGGTTGAATCACACTTACCTCATCGCCGTATCCAATCAGCTTCCCTGTCTTATCTAGTTGCTGGTGGGTCGTCTCCTCCCCTGTCTGGAGTTGGGAATGACATCTGCGAGGAGGAGGAGGAGGTTTGCTGCCGTGTCCGATTCACGAGCAAATAGTCTGTTAGAGTGAAACCGAGACTAGAAAAGTAGATCCCGAACCTCGACTGGTTGTAAGAAAGTGACTCTGTACGAGGTTTCACTCGGATTTGTCTGCTAAAAGAGGACGCGCGGGGCGCAGGAAAGGAGTGAGTATTCCAGTGCTTTCGGTCGCGTCTGAAGCTGCTTTGTTATCAACAGGTGCTGCAGGAAGCGGCGAGCTAGCCAGTTAGCCGTAGCATTAGCCTGATAACGTATCTTAACCTTAAAGCTCCCCACACTTGTTACATAAAGTACGTTTTGTCAGGGTGACTAGTCGCCAACATGGTGCCAACGCTTTGTAATAACCGAATGAACTTTATGTCTAGTGTAAAATAAAGATAATTAACGTTAACAGAGACGTAAACGTTACTTTGAACGCTAGCTGTCAACCCGCCGCGTCCGACGCGGAAAACAACTCTCAACGTAGGATCGGATCAGCGCTGCTTGTACCTGTTGTAACTTTACAACACCTTTGTGTTTTGTCAGGATAATGTAAGTTCTACTTGCGTCGGCTTGAGTAGTGTTACGTTACGGTTCTTATTCTTGTTGGATTCTTACTAACGTTGTGACGTGGTTTTGTTAATGATAACTTACATAACCTGCTACAATCAGCATCGACTCCGCCAGAAGCCAATGAACCAAGACACGTCAATTCCATCTCAGTAGGACATTGTGGGGATTTAGCTGAAGTTTGAGGACATAGATGACACGTTAACAGACATGCTATTCAAACGAAACAAGTTCATCTCATTATACTTTCTTTCTTTTTTCTGTGTTTTCATCTGACTGCAAACAGTCCATGTATGAATGTTATAGTAGCATATAGTTCGAGTCTGCTTTTTTAGACTGTATGATTCTGGGTAAAATGTCGAGTTTCTCTGAAACTCTCAAACTGTTTGGCTGAAAATGCAAATAAGGAACACACAAGTTTGAATAAATACAGACGGAGATGTGAGGAGACTGGAGGAGGAGGGCAAAACCTAATCTAACCAGTCCCAGGACTCTTAGTCACTAATGCCAGTGAATGATTGACCCCTTGTTGGGGCTTGCTGGGTGCAGGAGGCTGTGATTCTCTATACTCATTTCCAATGTTGGTTTCACAACATGCTGGGTGGGGGGAAGCTTACCAAACTTCGGGACAAATGACTGTCAGCGACAAATTCCTCCTACCTTCGGTGAACAGAAGGAACGGCATGTTGTCTCGCACAGCTCAAGCGTGATGATTATCTGGTCTAGTGTTCTTCAGAACGAAATGTGTTTTGCTTCTAGTGTGAGTGTATGTTGCTTCTGTTGGATGTCGTAGCATGAGGCCTGCATGTAAAAGGGAAAGGCTTTTTGTTGTGTCATGCATATTCACCAACGGTCGTACGTTGCTAACACGTTTAGACTTGAGCCTCGCTAAATGGCCCACTTAAAAATACTCAAGTATAGATGTAGTTCCAAAAGTTGATATTACAGATGTTGACGAACAGCATGATCTGAAGTGGAAAAGGGTAATCCATTTTTTTTAATCTATTCCAATTTTTGATATCGCAAAAACAAATGCATATGCCCAATAATAGTGCCTCTTGACTTATTGTAACGTACTGTGATGATAACCTATTGTGATAATATTGTATCACGACTTTCGTATACTGGAAATACCGTTGCGTGGTAATTACATGTTGTGATCATATCATGGTGATTATAATGTAACCTGATTATATCGTATCCTGACTTTGGTATTGTGAAAATATAGTATCTGGGTGCCTCTGATGATTTCGCTCTTTTGTAATTTCTCATAGTTTTTTTTGATGCATAGTAGGAATGTCTATCTAACCAGGTACCTTCCCGTTAGCTACAGGTGCACGTGGTTCAGCTCCAGCTCTGAACTGACCATTCGATAGGATGTTCTGCAGCTACGAGGCTGCATCACTATGGCCATGACTTTTATGCAAACACACTGTGAGCTGGAGACCAGAGAGGTAAAGGCCGGCACATTGGGCCACAGGCCAGCAAAGCACACAAGTTCTTTGTTCTCTGGAATGCTCTCTGGATCCCTCACTCGCCCTCATTGTCCCTCAAGTTCTCTGACTTGATTGGGACCCAAAGTTAGACCCCTGCCAAATGAAAATGTGTCCCCAAATTAGGGTTAGAAGTAAGCACGCTAGGGCAGATGCTGTCACCTGGTCAGTGTCATCAACCGCCGTATACCGGTTCAACCGGTATACCGGAATCACATTTCCTTACAGTAAGAGTCCTTAACGGTATGAGTCTTCCACATACAGGGAGTGTGTAGCTGTAACAATTGATGTTGCTCTTTGGCAGGCAGCGGAATTGATATTTTACTATAAAATGATATTTTATTTTTATATATATATATATATTTATATAATATTTACAAGTTCATAGTACTTGGAACAATGGATGGACAAATTGCCCAGCGATCGGAGCTACTTGGCTTGCGTGTATTGAGAGTCATGGTTATACCATTATACAACAATTAATGACCCACAACAAACGCTCTTTAACACGATAAAACACCACGACACAGTTTGCGACACAAACAATGTGTAGCACTAATAATTGTACATTTCTAAAACCGAACTGCATGCTGGGTACAGCTCGTTTGCGATCAATACAAGAAGAAACTACGTTGCTAATGATACATGAAAATAGGGAAAAGAGCGCTACAGGAGGGACCAGAGATGCACCAACACAAGCGAATAGCTGTGTCTATTTGGAGGATTTTTGGTTTTGGAAAATCCACCAAAAGTTAGATCAGAAAACGAGTTGTTGCAAAGTTAGTCGAGTAAACGGTATTGCCAACACTAGCAGCCACAGCAGCTAACACGCTAACTCGCTGACCAGTTGCAAGCAAGTTAGGCAGCGAGCAGTGAACAGCTGTTCAGGTGGCCGGCGGTCCTTTTTGCCGTCAATGAATAAATGTGTTTACTCGAAAATAAAATACTGGGATACCGTCAGAATCTGAGGAAATACCGTGGAATGAATTTTTGCCCATGTCGTCCAGCCCTAGTATCATCCACCTCGGATATGACGACCTTTCTGTCCGACCACAGTCTGTCATTGTGCTCTATTTTAGTGTGCTTTAGGAAACTGGTTGGCCGCACCGTGCTGTCAGTGAGTGAAACCCGCCTCCTCCGGTATTAAGGAACTACTTTTTAGTAGATTACTTATTATAAACAACAACATACAGACTAATGGTCATACAGTCAAATTAGATGTATTTTTCCATTTTCAAGGTCCACACTTGGAGAATGTCTTAAGGTTTTTCAAAACATTGACTTAACTATATTAAGCTTTTTCCGAACTCCGTGCATCATAAATTCCTTTAAGTATTTCAACAGAAACTGAGCGTGTGTCTATATTGCCCCCCTCTCTCCCTCATTTGGGCTCTTTTTTCTCTTTGTCTGGTACAGAGTGGTACAGCCCTTTTCAAAATGTGTGTGTGTGTGCGTGCGTGTGCATGTGTGTGTGTGTGTGTGTGTTTGTGTGTGTGTGTGTATTGTTAAAAAAGAGGAGATAAGAGGCAGCTCTGCTTCTGCTCCCAGTGACATTCCCAGTTCACACAGACCGACTGCTTCCTCTCTCTCTGGGCCGTAATGTTGGTTGGTTTCAGGGTCCAGGAACACTGCAACTTGTACAAAACATACTCACACATTGTACGGATTAAACCGGGTTTGAACCAGTTATGGCCAAATATTTGTTGACCATGACGAATATTAAGATCAGGATTCCTGCTAGAACCGTTCTTGTTTAACGGGCGGTTTTAGGGAGGCCATGACGATGATTAGTTACTTGAATGATTCACAATCCGACCGTCCGAACAACTTTATTATCAGGTTCACCTTCATTTTGTGTTTAAACCTGCAAAATGAAAATTTGGATACTGAAGGGAACTATTGCAATAATGTTTTTGAATGCAAACCGAAAAGATGTAGCGGTATTTTAATTCTTATGAAGCAGAGTGATAAACCGTCCCATTGACATCACAGCTCCGATGGGTAGTCATTGCTGCGCGCGGAATTGTTCTTTTCCCGAGTGATGCGTCCTCGCACATTGGAGAGAAGCTGTTGGCCGCTGCGATCTTCTCCATTTAATTGTGTGTACTTCTACATAATTGAGTGGAGCAGAAATAAAGTCTGATTTGCAGTTTCCCAAGGGAACCTTTCTCACATTAGCCAGGTTGCATTGTGGGGCGACCTTGAACGCCTCACTGTCACACTTGAGTTTGAGTCTGTATGAATAGTGAGTGTATTAAAACTCAAAGGCATTGTTCTTTCTCTAAAAGTGTGTATCTGAGTTCACAACTCTTTGCCAAATGGCAGCTGCTGATGCTGCACTGTCCCCAACCCACCCATCAAGGAGCTTGTTGTTTAACTGCTGACACACATGGAGACACACATTCATACATGCACACCAGGGGGTAAGCTGTGGCAGCAGATGGTGGTGTGTGTGTGTGTGTGTGTGTGTGTGCGCGCGCATCATGTTGTGTTATCAACTCTCGGTGTGTTTGTTTAGCAGACGCTCCGATAAAGGCTTATTTTACTAGACTCTGACCCAGTAGGAGACGGCCCGAGGTCTTCATCAGCGGGACCAAGCATAGGAAAACGTACCTGACGGAAGTGAATTAGTAATTTCTCTATAGAATTAGTTTGTAGTACACCCTGAAAAAGTGTTTCCCACCCACGGCAGTTCCGCACTGATACGTGTGCAAATATGTTTGTGTTGCGCTTGCGCCAGCGGACTGACAAACAAGACAAACAGACAGACAAAGACTATTCTGTTACACTTCTGTGTGTGTGTTTGTATGCACTTCCCTCCCTCTGATGTCTGAGTGTCAGATACTGACCCCCCAGACCTGTAGCCCTGTTTCATTGCTGCACCAGCTCTCACACAGAGGAGGACAGAGGAGACAAGTGGTGGAGCGGTCACCTTAGCTGGTGATGTTGGACTGGGCCTCTCAGGACCTGCAACAGGTGCAACATGGTCATTCATTTTGAATGATATTCTTAAGCTTTTGTTGTTCTATGTAGACACTATAGACACTGTAGGTATACAGTGTATTTGTCCGTGTTTCCCCAACCATTATATTGGGCTTCTGCTCCCAGTGACATTCCCAGTTCACACAGACCGACTGCTTCCTCTCTCTCTGGGCCGTAATGTTGGTTGGTTTCAGGGTCCAGGAACACTGCAACTTGTACAAAACATACTCACACATTGTACGGATTAAACCGGGTTTGAACCAGTTATGGCCAAAGATTTGTTGACCATGACGAATATTAAGATCAGGGGGGGGGGCAGGTTGCCCCTGCCCCTGCCCCGGCACCCCCCTCCCCCCGCCCCCACACAAGAAAGTCTCAAAGTTTCGCTCCCACCAGCAGACAGAGAGCTTGTTTCAGGACACTGACTTTAGGTGAAAAATGATATTATTCATGTACAACTCATATTCACTTGGTAATCAGACTTCAGAAGTCTGATTTTTAATAAAAGGCCGATATCGCAGTGTTCTGTGTGAAAGCAATATAAAGGTAAAAGCAGTTCAACAAGGATTTCCGGAGGATCTTTCGGTGTCTCCTGTTGGGATAGACATATTTGTCTGCTGGACCTGAGGCATCCAGAGAAAAGGCTTTGCTCCTGGAACACAATGAAGTGAGCAAGCCTGCTGATGTGTGCTTCAAGTGCAATGGAGGGAAACTTCAAACAGAGAGGGATTCTTTACCGCAACAGGCACCTGAACCCTACTGATATCCTCTCGTAAACACACAGTATACCAAGGCTTGATGCTGAAAGCATCTGGATCTCCCCATCTGGATCCCCCTATGTGTCACATATCTAAAGATAACATCACCAAAGAGTCAAGTTCCCTGGAGTCTGTTGTCATCGATGGTGACAATGACTATTGGTCCCAACGTTTCCCACACCGAGAATGAGTCGTGTGTTTTCATGGCTCACACACACACACACACACACACCCTTCCCCCACCAGTGGAATTTTGTTCCCATGGCTGCCTGGCATTCCACACTACTTTATCATGGGACCCGTGTGTGTGTGTGTGTGTGTGTACAGTCCTGCTGGTAGGAGATATCATATCAACATGCTGTTGTTATTGTTTCAGTGAGATAAGGCATCCATCCGTCTTACCTCTTTTATTTTTACCCTCTCTCTCTAGCCTCTCATCCATCCACCGTTGACTCGTGTGTGTTTGGCGGGTGACCACCCGACCGCTGACAAAGCCGTTGTCATGGTTACAGGTGGAGAGTGGGGGGTTGTGATGACGTTGTCCCAGAAGGGAAACCGAAACGAGAGACGGAGTGGTAGACTGACCTAGATGGGGAGAGGGCACTTTGTCATAACTGGGTGTGGAGCTCTGATCACCAGTGAGCCAGTTGCTCCTTCAGCACTGTGCAGGGTTATGATGGAGCAGTCACTACTCACTCACCCAGTCAGTAAACTCAGAGGATCAAACACTTATTTCTATATAATGGCTGTCCGGTGCCTTGTGAGGGTAGAAAACAACACAAATGGCTGAATCCAGTCTGCATGCTGGCTCCCTGACACTCGATCCTTGTTAATGTTGTTCGTATCACCTGTGTTTTTCCCCTTACGACCAGTCCAATTGTCAGTGGCAAAGAGACCTTGTTGACCTGTTTCCGACAACTTGTGTTGCGTGATACTCTGAGTGGCGTGCTGCGATGTGGGAGCACTGCAGAATCTCTGAAAGGTTTCACCGTGAAGCAGTCCAGAGCATCGGGCTAAACTAAACTACCATCTTGTTTAAGATGCTCAAGATCATGTGATCTCTGCCATAAACAGCCAGAATTACAAAACTATCTCCTACTTTATTACATGAAGCTTTTACCAGTTAAACGTTGATCAGTCCACTTTGTTGTGGTTTGTTTGAACACCCATTCCTGCTGTGTCTGAGCAAGTGTTTACATCAGGTAAAACGATACCTGATGCTCCCTCTCTGGGCCTGTTGTCTTGTAATTCATGTTTGAGGAATACTGGGACACAGAATGTTCCGCACCAGATTAATGACCCTGCTTTCTGCTTCCTCCCCTCTTGAAGGTGTCATGGCCGCCCCGTTTACTGAGCTGCCCTCCTAGACTCGCCCCATCTCTAGATACACATACCATAACGTCCACCGAATTCACACACGCCCACTCCCAGGCATGACGACCTCCCATCTGAACGGCCATGTCACCGAGGGAGGAGGAAGAGGAGGAGGAGGAGGAGGAGGAGATGAAGAGCCGAGGGGAGGACAGCAGCATCGGGAGATGGCCGTTGACTGTCCAGGAGAGCTGGGGAGTCGAACGCTGCCGATCCGACGCTCTACACAGCTGGAGAGGATACGACAGCACCAGGTATGCTCACACACACACACGCACATTTATTTTACAAAAACACTTGACATTAAAGCTGCAAAAAACATGCAATTAGAATTTAGGTATAATGTGCATTTAAAGACAATCCAGGCTGATCAATTGAACTAAAACAAACCTTAAGTAGTATGTACTACTGTTACCTAGGTATGCTATTTCACACTTTCAATGTCCTAAAATTCAGAAAGTAATACTTTGCAACAGTGTTAATTTCGTCGACGAAAACTATGACGAAAAGTTTTCGTTAACAACCTTTTTTTCCATGACTGACAGTTTTCGTCACGTCTTAGTCTCGTCTTCTATCTTAAAAAATAAAAACTATGACTACATCTATTCTAACTTTCGTTGACGAGACAAAAATGTTGGTGGTTGACGAAGTCACAATACTTTTTTCCCCCTAAAATCTCGCGTAGCCAACAGACAACAGACCGGCAAAGTACGGAGGATATTAACGTGTCATGATGACGTCATCCACGAACCCAGAACGCTCGCTCACATCGGTGCAGCGGTGGTTCTTGTGCACAGACTACGGACCGCGACGACTATTTTACACTTCGGCGAGTTTGAATGTGCGCTTCCTTGGTTTAGCTCAGCTGTCTCGGTTTAGGCAGGACACAAGAGAGAAGAACTGGTCATGAAACCAAAAAATAAACAAAGAGACAAAGAGAAAGAAACGACTGTTGAATGAAAAGTGGGAGTCGAGTTTAGAATGGCTGGTTTATGATGTAGCCAAGAAAATAATGTATTGCACCGATTGTAGGACGTTAAGGGGTCTCTTTTGTTGGGACAAGCAATTTCACAGTGGAAACAATAAAGGACCATGAAGTTTCCGGTGGCCATGTCAAAAGCACTGCAAGTAAACAGACAAAGACAACAAAGTGTTGCGTTTAGATCCCTGGTCCTCATGAAGTTGTTACACCTTTGTTAAATTGCCTTGCAAATAAATGCTTTGCTTTTTGTTCAAATCCAAATCCTTTCATGTAATGATTTTTCACATGTAATTTATATTCGCTCACACAAACACTTGTTCTTGGCCGGCTCCTCTGTCAAATTTTACAACCCACTGTGGGCCGCGAGTCAAAATGTTTGCCGACCCCTGCTATAGACCTGTCCTAGGAGGGACATCTAATGGACAACAAAGTACTGCAAGCTAGACTATTATGCAGTTGTAGACACAACACAGAGGGTCCCTGGGCCTGAGAAGGGAAGAATAGGAGTTTAATATGGCTATTAGATGTGACTAAAACTAGACTAAAATGAGTTTTTGTTGACAAAAACTAAGAAGGATTAAAATGACTAAATGTGACTAAAACTAATATGCATTTTTCGTCAAAGACCAAGACTAAATCAAAAATAGCTGCCAAAATTAACACTGCTTTGCAAGAGTTACTTTGCCCGTTTCAGAATTTAGAAACAACGTGCATAATATCTTCATAAAATCTAAGTTAAAAATCATAAAATCAAAAGTTACTACAATTTGAATGGGCCTCACCATGACTATGTGACTACCACAGAGGCCAACTGTCAACATAACAAAGAGAAAGAACTTACACCTTTTGTAAAGACTCACAACACACTGGTTTAGAATGAACGGTTGGAGTAGAGCCATATATGCCCAATGGAGGAAACACTGTAGCTTCTTTCTTTGAAATACAACTTGTGTTAAATGAATCTTATCTGATTGTAGATTTAATCTTATGCACCCATTAAAAAGACGGAGCCAAACCGTCACTGCTCTGTAACTATGGATGGTTCCACCCACACATTCATTCATTAAATAATGTTTACACAAGCAGTCCTCCTTCCCATCACCCCTGTGGGGGAGAGATAGGGAGGGGCTGCATGTAGTCTGCCATGTTACTGACTAAATATACACTCACCGGCCACTGTATTAGGAACACCTCGCTAGTGAAAGGTTGGACCCGTTTTGCATTCAGAACTGCCTTAGTTCTTGTCGACATACTTTCAACAAGGTGTTGGCAACATTCCTCAGAGATTTTGGTCCATATTGACATGATGGCGTCACACAGTTGCTGCAGATCTGTCTCCTCCACATCTGCGATGAATCCCCTGTTGCACCACATCCCAAAGGAGGTCTATTGGATTGAGACGTGGTGACTCTGAAGGCCATTGGAGTACAGAGAACTCATTGTCATGTTCAGGAAACCAGTTTGAGATGATATAAGCCAGGGGTGCTCACACTTTTTCAGCATGGGAGCTACTTTTGAAATGACCAAGTGAAAATGATCTACCCATTATATTTATTGAGAAATATATTGAGGATTCTTACAACCTATGTTGATGTATAACCACATATGTTGCACAACACAACATAATTCAGAACTGAACAGACTGAACAACATAATTATGTACATGTTTTGCCATCACCTGAGCTCACTCTGATGACTTGCACTGAATTGAATCAGCCAGGGATACATAGTCCAGTGTCGTATTTTCCATGAAGAGTCCGAAAATGCCGCTCCACATTTCCCTTCTTTGGTATTGCGACGGTAGACTGGCAGACGAGACCAACGCACTTTGAAAATGTCATTCCGTATGAAAGTGATGAAAGGCTGAGTTTTTTTCTTTTTACTTGGTCCAGCTCCCCCACTCATTTTTATACCCTATCTTACGTTTAAGAGGAAAAAACACGCACAGTGACCTAATTGTACGTAGAAAAAAATCAGATGTCATCTGACTGGTTGTCCTGTGTATCAATCAAGTGACGGGATGGCTGATAGGCTGACGTCTAGTTTTTTTATTCAAAACAACTCAACTTTATTTGTATAGCGTCAGTTCATGACAATGTCACCTCACCTTGTCATGCGATCTACCAATAGTACCTTGGAGATCGACTGGTAGATTGCGATCGACGTATTGAGCACCCCTGATATAAGCTTTGTGACATGGTGCATTATCTTGCTGGAAGTAGCCATCAGAAGATGGTGCACTGTGGCCATAAAGTTATGGACATGGTCAGCAACAATACTCAGGTAGGCTGCCGCATTTAAACCATGCTCAATTGTTACTAAAGCATGGCCCAAAGTGTGCTAAAGTGTGTGAATTGTAGTCTCAGTTTCCTGTTGTTGGCTGACAGCAGTGGTGTGGTCTTCAGCTGCTGTAGCCCGTTTTCATCAAGGTTCCACGTGTTCTCCGTTAATTGGTTGTAACCAGCGCTTATTTAAGTTACTGTAGTCATTCTATCATCTGGAACCAGTCTGCCCATTCCCCTCTGACCTCTCACTTCAAGAAGGCATTTTTGGCCACATAACTGCCGCACACTGGATATTTTCTCTTTTTGGAACCGCAAAGAGATTCATCAAGTTGTCTTCACCACGTCTACATGCCTGGATGCATTGAGTTGCGTCCATCTGATCTGAACACACATATTGGTTGGTTGTCGTAAGGTCTTTCTAGATGTCAGCTGGCCACCACCTCGACTGTATAATGTAAAGAATGACATGTTACTACATAACAACACAGAGAAGTGTTCTGTTGCTTTATATCTAGTAACAAATCATTAAACCACCATAGGTCAACAGGCACAATTCCTGAATTGTTCTATTTTTAAATAACAAATGATGACACTAGAGAATTAAAATCATATACCCTTTTGTTAATCTATTTAATTAATAATGGTTTAAGATTTGTAGATCATTCAATGCAAAGGAACCAAGCATTACGATGGAAATTGTGAGTGCATAAAAATAGCTGCCAAAATTTAACACTGCTTTGCAAGAGTTACTTTGCCCGTTTCAGTATTTATGAACGGAGCTCCCCATTGTTGGGTTGCATTTCCATCTGATGCTTTTCTTTCTGTGCATCAGGAGGATCTGCGGCGTCGCAGAGAGGAGGAGGGTCGGCAGCTGGACCTGAACGCCTCGCTCCGACTCAGGAAGCTCTCCCAGCATCCCCACATCGGCATCGACAACCCCACATTCCTGCAAGACTCGCACACATCACAGCAACTGCCACTCAGCATTCAGCACACTCATGCACTACTGGGTAAAAACACACACACACACACACACACAGATCTGGGTGAGGAGGGAATGTAAGGAAGACAAATTCCTCAGGGAGGGAGAGAAGGGCACCAGAGGCTCTTGAGGACTTAATTAAAACTTTGTTTTGGGAGTTAATGTTGACACGCCATCAGACTAACAGGAACTGTGACATGTTGACTTACAAATGAGAAGCAGCCTCTCTCACACACACAGTAATCCAGCAAAAGCGGTTTGTCTCAAGTCATTCTGACGCTATGTAAAAATCAACCGCTACTAAGATGTGTTTGCCGTTTGTGTGTGTTTTCTTGCAGAGTTGGAGGAGCTGCTGCTGTCCCTGAAGCAGGTCCGAGGCAGCCTGTCCGACCAGCAGAGTCAGAATGACGTGGAGCTGGTCCTCGCACTACTGAACAAGGTACCACGCGGCAGTCATTAAGTCATTGTGGTATTTTGAAGGGATTTACAAAGAAGGCCGTCTGGGCTTAGCATCCATAACAACAGGCGCCAAACATCTGTACAGTGGGAATGAGGCGGGGTCAGGGGGCAGATGCTGGAGGCTGCAGAGAGAGCGTTACGTTCTCTAACGAAGGTACCAGGTCCCAGATCCCTTTGTGCCAGCATTAAATATAACTTTAAATGGATATTTTTCTGCCCAATCTTAAATAATCCTGCGTTCTACTGCAACATTGAAGCAGTCGTCAGCATCTGAAAGCATCCCTTTGTGGCTGCAGGGACATTTCCAGGAATCTTTTTAGTGGACATATCTAAAAGGGATTTTCAGTGTCACGTTTGGTTTCTGCCTTCCCTCCAAATTGTCCTGCTGGGAAGGAGTTCAAGTCACTGAATATTGGTCCCTCGTCACACACAAAATATGATTACGTCTTTGCTGAAGCACCAGTGTACGCTTTCAAAGCTGCTGCCATTAAAAAGTAGCATGTTAAATCCCCATTGTTAGACTACTGTTAGGCTACCAACCTGGAAGACACCTGTGCAGCTCGTGCATGTCATATTGTCCCACGGGCGCACACACCTTTGGCGTGTACTGTCGAGGGCTGTAGGAAATAACTCAAAGCTTTCCACATTCATTCATAACATCCCCGTTCAAATGAATAATAACCAACAGAAATATACAGGCTGATCTACCAGCCGTTGTTGGACATTTATTTATTTAAACTGTGGACATCACAGCGGCATTCGATTTGTGACATACAATTATGCACATGTTTAGTGTTTGCAGTGAACAGCTAATTTACAACACCTGTCCACAGGATATAAAATACTATTACTAAAATAATAACGGCGCAAGAAGATACATACATAAGTACATATATAGGTGCATAAACACAGTACAAGTGCACCTCTGGTATTGCTAAGTGCAGTTCGCAGTCTCAGTATAATGTTTGGGTCTAAATACAAATTGTTGTTGATACAGTAACTGTAGAACGTAACTAATGAATGGTCACTCACCACCTCATTCCATGTTATGTTATGGAGATATTCATGAATGCAAACGACGGAGCAGGCTTAAAATGAGAAGAGCCCTTCGTGTGCGCCCTCTTGACTTCAGTCGTTTGCTTGCTTCTCCTCGCTTCTGTTTCTGCATGCTGAATCAGCCAAACAGCACCCATCAAGTGCCTCCTTGTGCCAATCCCAAAACCAAAACTAGGGACAGAGTGCAGCGTCCCCTTGGCCTAGTCCCACTTAGTGCTGACACTCGGGTGTACAGATTTCATTGCACTGTGATTTGAAACAATGAGGCAGAGTGATGTGAAACGGAGGATGCGCACATACTTACTGTGTCTTCTTTGTTCTCCTTTAGTCTGACTTCCAGTCAGCGCTGAAGATCCATAATGCCGTGGCCACCAGCATGCACCGGCCCTCTCCTCCGTACCCACACACACAGCAGGCTCTTCAGCTGGCCCTGGAGGTATACCACAGCGTCCTGTTCATCTGACAGAGACAGCACACACACACACACACACACAGACTCCAGGTCAGTGAGTGTATACTGTAATAACGAGGTTGAAGACAGAGCAGCTCTGTTCAGCATCAATTAGAGCTCTGCACACACACACACACACACATTGTTTTCAGCCAACTATTTTATGGTGCGATCACATTTTAAAAGAGCAACCGGTTTATAATGATGCCACAGTCCATTTTTTCTCAAACTTGAGTAGATTCATCAGAAGGAGCGCCAAAGACAGAAATGTTTTTATTCTGTGAAGTTTGGATCTTACGGGTGATTACCAGGTGACACCAGGTCATGTGACGGATCCAGGATTCCTGTCTGACGGTGCAGCAGCTCTTTCTTTCTGTGGAATCTCATTAAGGAGCAGCACATTATTTCTGCTCTATGTCGAATGATAATTCAAATATTTGTTGAGTTGTTGCAACACATTTTCTCCTTGAGGTTATCATTTCAAATCTAAATGCTGAACAATGTCAACTCTTCATAATCTGAGCCCATCTTCAGATGAACCCACAGTTATCACCGTACAGCCTAATGACTCCCTGCAAAGGCACTGTGTATCTTTGTAAAAAGCTGCTCTTGCTACATTAATAATATGCTATTATCATACGGGTAGATGAGATCCAGCGTACTGATTGGTTGAGAGTGAGTCACGGGGTGTACATCATTGAGTGATAATGTACAGTACCTTTTCACATTGACCCGAGCGTTCCATCTTACTGCGCACTCAAAGTAACCGATTAGATTTTGCGCGACCGTTAGTTGACATTTCAGCTTTTAGCTCGGTGGCGATTGCTTAAAACCCCCCGGAAATCCCACAAACGTGGTGGACGGCGTGAGCGTTGTTAGGTCCGCGTCGGGCCCCCGAACTGTTACATTATTTGATGATAGAGTACAGCCTCTCGTACCTTATTGCTTTAATATGTTGTATGTTGCCATGGTTTTTAGACAAGGAGTCTCATCCAGTCAAGTCAGAACAAAGAGGGCCTGGAGCTCCACCGCCTGCTGTCAGACACACACATCCAGGTAGAGACACGCAGCTCACTTAGTGAAAAAGACACCAAAGAATCATCAGGGCTGCAGGCCTATTGCTGAGGTGTGTGTGTGTGTGTGTGTGTGTGCGTGCGTGTGCGCAGTCATTGCTGCTGGCCCATGACAGCATAGCGGAGACGGAGATGCAGCTTGAGCCGCTGCCCTCCGAAGGAGAGACTCTGACCCAGTGGGGAGGAGAGACTGTGAAGATAGTTCGCATCGAGAAAGCCCAGGACGTCCCTCTGGTAAGACTTAACGCCTGAGAGCACAGAGTAATCAAGTACATCTCTTATTACATCAATTCATCCAATATTTATTCAAATATTTCCAAAAGTAAAGGTTGGACTTTTTAGAATAATCAACATTGTGTAGCTTTATTGAACAATAAAATAATCTTTAAAGCTTAACCCAGTAGTTGAACTGAAGATTAAACATTAAGCATGTTCTTCTTTAAAGGTCTGTAAAGCGTGTAAAGCTCTCCTTCAGGATAAGTGCACTGTCAATGCATTCTCTGTAAATAATGAGATTTTTACTCAGTAGAATCTCTGATTGTAAAGTAATGTGTAGATCACGTGATGTGTAGCTGTCATTCTGCTGTGCTTTTGTGTGCGTCCTGTAGGGGGCGACTGTCCGTAATGAGATGGAAAGTGTCGTGATCAGTCGCATCGTTCGAGGAGGAGCAGCTGAACGGAGCGGACTCCTATCAGAAGGAGATGAAGTACTGGAGATAAACGGCGTGGAAATCAGAGGGAAAGATGTCAACCAAGTGTTTGACATACTTGTAAGTATCTCAACATAGTTCCTTGAGCACTACCGGGTGGTAACAGAGTGTAAAGAAATCAAATCTATGCTGTTGTACACACACACTCTACCTGTGATTTGCATCAGGGTGATATTTGTAGAGGAGCTTTTTGTATTGATGGCATTATACATTACATTGAACACGAGCAAAAAGGCAGTCTCTAGATTCAATGCAAACTGTACAGTATATAGTAGCTGACAAATGACACATGCTCTCTTTGTCTGTGTGTGTCCGTGTGTGACAGGCGGACATGCACGGCCTGCTGACCTTTGTGCTTATTCCCAGCACTCAGAGCAAACCTCCTCCTGTCAAAGAGTCTGTGGTGAGTGGTGAACACCTGATTGGAAAAGGTGTCGACAGGAGAGATTAGAGAAAAGGTCTTGACTTCTTTTCCCCTGTCGGCCTTCTCTCGCTCCCACAGATCCACGTCAAGGCCCATTTCGATTACGACCCATCAGATGACCCCTACGTACCATGCAGAGAGCTGGGCTTGTCCTTCCAGAAAGGAGATATTCTGCACATAATCAGCCAGTCAGACCCCAATTGGTGGCAGGCGTACCGGGATGGAGACGAGGACAACCAGCCTCTAGCGGGACTGGTACCAGGTACTTTCCTCTGTCGCACGCTCCCAGGTTCTCTTTTGACTTAAGTCAAACGCCTCGATGGCCGCTGTTGGTTTGCTCTTACGTTCTCTTTTCTTCCACAGGGAAGAGTTTCCAGCAGCAAAGAGAGGCCATGAAACAGACCATAGAAGAAGACAAGGAGCCGGAGAAGACTGGTCCGTTGCTTTCCTCTCTACACCATGACACCATGACTGAATGACCAGCTCAGAGCATTCTGTACAGCCTCTCAGGCGTACAATGTACAGCATATAGTTTGGGGAATAATGTCTAATGATTGAATTAGCGTTCAGAGGGACCACAGGAGATCTGTTATTCACTCAGGGGGCGTTGTGAGTTCCTGATCTTCTATTTAGCTAACCGACAGGATACCATTTCCCACCATGCATCAACTCCTCCTCGTGCTGAAATTAAATAAGTGATTAAGTAAAGAAGGCATGGTCCTATGCAGCAAGGGCGTTTCAAGATGCTTTGTTGTTTACAGGGAAGCTGTGGTGTGCAAAGAAGAACAAGCGGAAGAGAAAGAAGCTGCTGTACAACACTAACAGGAATGATGGTACGGCAACTGGAGTACTACTTTCGTAGTGGATTACCAGCTGTGAAGAAAAAAGAGATGGCATTAGTTATGAATGGGTGTCTAGGACAGCCGTTAGGGCCATTGTATGTGGAAAGAGAAATGGGGGGAGGGGTGGACTGTTTATTTACAGAACTAAATTGGTACACCTGAGAAAAGTCTTGCAAGTTTACATAAAAAACAACCGTCAAAGTGAGCTATAGATGCTGTCTGAATCTCTAAAAGGACCTTGTTGTGTTCTTATGGTAGGCACGGCCACCAAGGTGATTTCCGTGCGGTCTTTTTAAATATTAATATACTCGCTATAAGTTGCACTTAGGTAGAAAATGTGTTTACCAGTGTGATGACATTTATTCAACCTTTGATACTTTCTGTTCCTTGGCCCAGACCTTGATAACGAGGAGGTTCTCACCTATGAGGAGATGGCTCTGTACCACCAGCCGGCCAACAGGAAGCGGCCCATCGCACTCATTGGTCCAGCCAGTTGCGGCCAGGCGGAGCTTAGACAGAGACTGCTCAACAGCCAACCAGAACGCTTCGCTGGAGCTGTGCCCCGTAAGACTCACACACTCAGACACACACAGGCTTTTAAATTTTTTATGGCTACGCTAACGTGTGTGTGTGTGTGTGTGTGTGTGTGTGTGTGTGTGTGTGTGTGTGTGTGTGTTAGACACCACACGGAGCCGCCGGGATTGCGAGCTGAGTGGCCGCGATTACCACTTTGTGTCTCGTCAGACTTTTGAGGCGGAGCTGGCAGCAGGTAAGGTTTCATGTTATCAGATACTGTAAATTGATCATTTAGAGGGACGTTCTTCGCTCAGTGTCAGTATTCGCATGTTATTTCACCATTGAAGCACCAGATCGATAAAGGTTTTACGCATATTTCACTCCTCAAGTGACAAAATAAATGTATTTAGAAGTCATTTATGAGCCTGGAATTAGTGTTTCACAAGTGAGTGGTGGTAGCCAGAAGCCTTAATGACCCTAATACTGTAGATAAGTTACACTATGTGATTGTGTCCACTCTAAATGGTGCCATAGAGCTGCATTCTCTCTCCTGGCCATCAGGGGGAGACTATGAGAAAATGACTCTTGACCCTCTTGATTTATTCACTTAATAAACATTATACTCACAAGTTTATGTTCTCAATCTCTAGCTTCAAGTCTTCTTCAATACATCATGAAGTTCATTTAGTAAACTATGGTCCATTTAGAGTCAAATAGACCACAAAGCAAGGTATCATTTAGGGCCGTGCAACTGTGGTTACCATATCGTTACCACGGCCTTGGTCTCTGTGTTTTGTTATATCTTCTAACAGTCTGTTTTATTTCATGAATGTTAATTGTAACATTTACAAGCTTTAAAATGATGCATGATTCAGCATTTTGTTGTGATTAGCTGCACCTTCTAGTGTCACTGATGGTGACTGCGTCCACGTCTTACATGCAGTCTGTGGGAACAGCATAGCTCACTGAGCATTACGCTCCTAACACCTGATGTGGCCACTGTCTGCCCTTCCATGTCACAGTGAAGACAGGAAACCGCAAACACAGCGTGGCTTTCCATGGTGTGTTCAGCCATAAATGTAATCCACGGAAATAAACTTTTACAATGTCACTGCCTCCTCGGGGCATGTTGTCCAGTCTTACACAGATGCTTTTTAATTGTGTAAGCTATACTTTAATAAACTCGTGACAACATCACAAGCCTCTAACTGTAGTGAGAATACCAGATTAAGCAGATGAAATGACGAGGGATTACGAGCACACTTTGCACTACAAAGGTCGTATGACTGTGTGATGAATTATACCCCCCCTCCCCCCTCTGCCTGCTGTGGGTCCCAGGGAAGCTGATAGAGTCCGGAGACTTTGAGAAGAACCTGTACGGGACGAGTACAGACTCAGTGAGACAGGTCATCAATACTGGAAAGATCTGTGTGCTTTGTCTGCACACACAGGTGTGTGTGAACACACACACACACACACACACACACAACATTGACCAATCGCAGCTGAACCCAGGCTAAAAGGTTTGTGCGTGCATGTGTGTGCGTGCAGGCTCTGAAGGTGCTCAGGAGTTCTGACTTGAAGCCGTATATAATCTTCATAGCTCCGCCCTCCCAGGAAAGACTCCGAGCCCTTTTGGCTAAAGACAACAAGAACCCCAAGGTATTTATTCTGGTGTGCCTTCTCTGAAATGGTTAAATATCACCAGTGTCTACATCTTTCTCTCTCTCTCTGTGTGTGTGTGTGTGTGTGTGTGTGTGTGTGTGTGTGTGTGTGTGTGTGTGTGTTGCCGACAGCCCGAGGAGCTGCGGGACGTCATTGAGAAGGCGCGGGAGATGGAGCAGAGCTGTGGTCACCTGTTTGATGGCGTCATCACCAACACGGACCAGGACAAAGCCTTCAACGAGCTGCTACGACTCATCAACAAGCTGGACACTGAGCCCCAGTGGGTGCCTTGCTCCTGGCTGCGCTGAGAACACACACTCACCGACACACACAGCAGTCACAGGGAGTCACACTGCTGAGCTTCAATGGAGTATTAAGGCCACCGCCAGGAGAGAACAAGTCCTTTTACAGTTGAAATTATTCGAGACAAAGTCATTTTAAGGGGAAACATCCCAATATTGAAACCTAAAGTGGTTATTTAACAATACAATGTCATAATGTTAAGAGATAAATGATAAAACAACCATCATATGAATTAACTTAGTTTTAGAAGAAAGTGTTAATATTATGAGATAATTTTCAAGACTAAGCAAAGGACAAGTTCTAATATTAAGAAATTCAATTGGATTTTCACCTGAAAGAATTCTACACATTTTTACTCTATGACTTTTTCTCATGAAACCCTCTTTTCTTGTAATATTATTTTACTTAAAACTACAACTGCAGTTAACAGTATATTCTTGAAATAACAAGTGTCTTCCTTTAGAAAACTATGACCTTATTTCAGTTAGATCTTACCAACAAGATCATACATTTCTTGTTGAAATGTGACTTTTGTTGTAATTCCCACTTTAATGTCGGAACATCTTGACTTTTGTCTTTTCTGACCTTTGACCCTGACACTCCGTTGTTCTGCAGAGTACAAGTAGTAGAATGTATTGACCTGTTGGCACTGTAAAGGACAAATCTACAGGTGGATTAGCTTTGTGTGAATGGACAGATGTTGGTTGGTGTGTGACTGGTCCATCCCGTTCATTTCCACCCAGGACATTTATGCCACACTCATCTCTTACTTATTATATTCATTCTTAGAGACCAAAATATGGACCTTTTTTTTCTTCTTTACTTCTAGCTCTTACTCCAAAATGTGAGGCCTCGTTCACGACGCACCCTTTGCCTTGATTCTGTCAGCATTTCAATAGTTTCCAATATTTAAATGATCACGTTCACTATTATTTGAACTTGTTGCAGTGCAGAGAGACCGTAAAGAATTAGATTTTGTGTTGAGGCGTTTTTAGTTTTTGTCTGAAACCGTTGGGCCCTGAGCTCAGAAGAGGCGCCTGGTGAGAAGTACATGTGACACTGAGATTCATGAAGTGCTCCTTTAGATCCACGCTGCGAAGAACACACACACGCACACACACACACACACACGCACACACAGTGCATTAGACGCTGACTTCACCCAGAAGTCTTTGTGGCCTGATGCTGCAGCCTTCTTCACACTGACTGAGCTTTCTGTTGAGACGCTAACAATTGAACACTAAAACAAAGGACAGAGCACTTGATACTTCCTCTCTGACGGCTTCGTCTTTCTGTCCTGTGTGATCACATTTAGGTAGTAGTGACGTCTGAGCCTGTGTGGGTACAGGAAACCAGGAAGTTGTAGTTTTAGTTGTGATGCTGAAGTTATTATATATTTAGTGTGTGTGTGTGTGTGTTGTGTGAATGGATTTGTGTGTGTGTGCCTGTCTTTGAAGACAGCAAAGTATTATTATGATCTGAAATAGACCTGACAAAATATCACTCATCACTGGCTAGAGCATTTATATATTTGTAATATTGAAAAATAGATTTATGAAGTCCAGAATGCACCAATGGGATTGCAGGTTTCACCTTTTGCCTCAACTGCCATTGGTCCAGGAGGAGGAGGAGGCGGGGCTAAGCGAATTAACTGTGTTGAATGTAAAGTTAATCGATACCACATGTTTATCAGACATCACTTCTTGAGTAAATCTGCTTTTTGTATGAATATTCAAAATGAATAAATAAATAGATGGTTAATTGAAAATGACGCTTTTGAGCTTTTCTTCAATTTTGCAAACAGATTTGTTTTCCATGTAATATTTCTTCACGTACATCTTTTTCCTAAACAGATCTGGCCAACAAACTTTTCGGAAGACAAGCCAACATCTTAAAGTAACTCCAATAAATGGAAAGCCAGGAACCAAAATCAGCAGAGACATTTCCTATAGCGTCTACTCATCATCTGGCTTTGCAGAAGATCACATGTAGTAGAATGACTGATCCACAGGGGGCACTGTTGTACAGATTATTCTTATTTCACGTGTGATCCTGGAGTGGAACAGAGTCGACTGCCACAGTAAACACGCCCGGTTCCCTCCCTCCCTCTGCTTGGTTTTACTTTTATTGCGCTACGTGTTGTGCCTGGTTCTGGACATGGAACTTGCCTCTTTCTGATCAGGACACATTTAAAAGTTCGCTGTGAACTGATTATCCACAGGTCGAATCCAGCCTGTACTACTGAGTGTTTTACTCTACAAAGCCCCACAAACATTCACATGAAGTTGCAGAATTATTGGAGCACAATAGTCTCATGTAAATAAGTAGTTGTCAGTTGCTGCTACTTTGCATTTGGCCTTTAACCTTTGATCTGAGCGTATCTCCGGTTTCCTTTTTTAACATGTTTGAGGAGCAATCAGAGAGTCTTAGTTCAGAGCAAGAGGATTAACCCAACACTTGTCAGTGTTAGTTTCACGGGAAAAGTCCCTTTTTTAAAAATTCAAACAAAATGAACTCTCTTTTTTCAAATCTATTATTTTATTTTTCTACTTTTCTTTCATCATAGAAGAAAATCACAAAGGCCTTTTAATCCATACTTTATATAAACTCAATATTTAATGTTGCTTTGATGTAGGACAGAGCCTTCCCTCTTTATGTCTACCATGTGAATTGCCAACCTATCTTTGATTACATCTCAACTCATCATGGAGAAAAGTATCTTAATTCGGAATACACTACTTGGCTTAACCCCAGGATAAGTCAGATCACATTCCATGGACAGGGTGAAAAGATTGTCCTTTATCAAATTAAAAGGCAAAATTGATTTTAAAAATTAAAGTTCATTCATCTATCCCTTTATTTTTTCTTCCTCAAATGGTCAAAAATTATGACCATTTGCAAAAACTTGATCTTGATGATTAGTCTTGCTGTGATCATATGTGATTCTATATGAACACACCGTGTGTGTGTGTGTGTGTGTGTTCATATAGAATCACATATGATCACAGCAAGGAGATTCAGCACCTATACCTATATATATATATATAAATATACATACATACATACATGGCAAAGTGTTATCAATTCAACACATGCTTGCTAAATGTCTTGATGATGTTGGTCTGTTAGTTAGGGGGCTAAGTACAGATGTGGTAAACAAAGTGTTGCTAACTCAATTTGTCAATACCTGCAGACATTATCGTTATCTTTTGTAATCTGCTTTAACAAACTAAGTCACCATCATAAGACCGTAAAATACAATAAAAATATGAATGGATGAAGATATGAAATGAATTGATGTAAGTAATTTGCTACAGTAGTATAGTACCTAACCCAAGAAATACACTAATTGCAAAATGCCTAAAAAGTTGTGGGGACGTTTGTTATCTTGTTCCGTTAAAAGCCTTTGGCTGTTGCCAAATGGCGGTGACGTCAGGCTCAGAGAAAACGCTGCCACAATATTGCACTGCAATTGGCTGATCTATCACAGGGGGCAGAGGCCGCTCTTTTTGCGAAAGCCGATTGGTCGACGCTGCGGTCACTCAACCCTCTCTGGCATCTGATCGCACACAGTCAGGTTGATGGAGAGGAGAGAACTAAAGATACGTGGTGGACATGTAGCAAACAACGGAAACCTTTATTTTTAACATTCTCCGTTTGCTTCTACCGCACATTTGCCCTTTACTTGTTTTACTTTTCTTTTAATCTTTCACAGCAGTTTCGCCGCTTTACGGTTGAAGTCTTGTATCCTTGGAGACGCGAACAACTGTCCTGCGAAGTTTGGATCAAGTGTTACACCTTCAGCCGGAAAACCAACTGGATATTTACCCGCTGGACTAGCGGAGCTTCCACTGTGGAGCACGCGGGCCTTTGTGGAAGTAGTTCGACAAGTTTTTGCTCACATGTAGCGCTTTTCATTTTAAACCCAGTGTTTTAGGGAAACGGGTCAGCGCGAGACAATAGTGGTGAGGAGCTCGTGCGAGGGGGGGGAATCAATGCCTCGCGGGCGCTTTGTTCTGGTGACCTGCCGCGAGCCTGCAGCGGATATCGATTAAGCAGCCGTTGGATCTATGCATGTTTGTGATCGGTACACGGAGTAGGAGCCGCTGGGACGACCATGGACGGGACTCTGTCAGAGTTACTGGCGACTTTCATGGAGTCGCCGCTGGTGGTGTGGGTGAGTGGGAGCAGCACGCACGCGCGACCCGTGTCTGTGTTTTACTTTCTCTCAGGTCGGCTTCACTTTTGTTTTTAAAACGACCCGATGAGCTGTTAGAAAACCCCCGTCCTTTGACCCCTGAGGTGCTATGTGCAGTAGCGTGCTGTCTCGTGCGCGATCAACCCTTTGATTGAGTCGTTACAGTGACAGGAGGCCAGGTTTTCAGAGTAAAAGCCCCAGATTAACAATAAGATGTTGCTTTGAGCTTCTGGGAGTTTCGATCTCGCACTAAACTTATTTATTCTGCTTCACCTGCCACAGTCCATCAACTAGCGATACCTCTGCTCCTTTTTGCCATTAAAAACCGGATGTATTCCAATTCCCCCCAGTAAGTGTTCTCAATGTCTAAGTGATTCCATGAAATACAGCTGATTTCACTGATCTATAGAAAATACCTTTTCACAATATTAACAGAAAGCAGACAATTAAAGGTTTACGTATATTCATTCCATCGTCGACTTGACCCTAGATTTCAGTGTCCTGGTTGGAAGCCCGTGACGACCCACACAGAACAATCAACAGCATATTAACTCGGTGGTACTTCCTGTTTGCCTCTAACCCCATCCTGTTGACCTGACCTCTCACCCAACTTTATTGGACGCAGACAATCCCAATTAACACAGTGTACATAGCTGACAGATGGAAGCTCACTAGTTAACTACACATTCCTTTTTTTATACATCCAAGGTTAGACAAACGAGTTGTGGGCTCGGGAAATCAGGCAAGATGATCTTTGAAGTAACTTTTTAGTTTGGGAGGAGAAAATTAAATGCAGATCGGACTGCCGTTGTACCGGGTGGCTTCAAGCTGTGTCTCTGTGTGAGGGAAGAGCACAGCGTTCCTCAAAACAGCAGAACTCTCAGCAAAAAACAAGCTGAATAAATATAACATGTATAAAATGTTGAATTTTAATCCCAGATCTGAAATGAAGATAGTGAAAGTGACTCGTATTGTTGCTCCTGGCCACAAATAGAACACCTGCACACTTCTTCTACGTAAGCAATGCTGGACAAAATCCCCTGTCCTGCAAAGACGTGGTCCAATGTCCCTCCGCCGTCTCTTCAATAACAAACTGTCCCTGTTTTCCCACGGCTGTACAAGGAAGAATCCTCTATACGGATATGTTGTTTCAGCGGAACGTCAGCCAGTTTAAACAGATCCTTTAACGTGTGGTTGACTTCTCTTTCTGTCCCCAGGTGAGGACGCTGGGTCCTCTGGGTTCGTGTGATGACGCCGGTCCAGAGGAGCGTGTCAACATGTTCATGGAGCTGGTGGACGGCGTCTTCCTGCATAAGATCATGACCCACATGTAGGTTACATTGTGCAGTGACAGTTTTCACATTTATTTTGTCGTTTAAAAAAAGAAAATGTGTGTGTGTGTGTGTGTGTGACCACATCCTGAGCAGTGCTTTCAGGTTGTGAACAGCACAGCCAGATGTGCCGCTCAAGTGCATCAAGTTAAACAGCGATTGGAGCCGAACGGCTGTCGGTTTTTAAACAGTGATTTTCGGAATTACAGCGTTGCAGACAAGTTAGAGCGCAGTACAAAATCGCTCCGAATATTCACTTAATGCATATTTAGCTAAAGTAGAGACGCCCTGAGACAGACCGATCGGCCCCAGCTTCGAGGGGGATGCAACACATACTGACTCATTAAGACTGCAGGATGTACATTGCAGACAGCACAATGCAGTGTGATATGTGATACTTCTTATTGTGTACCAGTGCAGCTCAACTGTTGAGAATGAGATCCGTCAGGCTTAGGACACGCACACATACACACTACTTGTTAAAAATACATTCACTGTTGGTCTTTTCATGGGATTTGCTAACTATAAAATATGTATAGATAGGATCGCCCTTTTCTTCTGGATAGGACAGACAGCATTTGGACTTCAGGGACATTAATACTGTCCCCAGTGATAATAACCAAACATACCCAGAAGGCCCTCTGTCCCCAATCAGAACACATGCTAGTTATTGTCTTCAGAAACAATGATAATCGCGCCATTGTTCTGGGACCACTGAATGTGGGCTGTGTGTGGGGGGGGGGGGGGGTTGTTATGTCTTGGAGGAGGTCAAGGGGAAAGTAGGTTGGGGAATATTACTGGAAAGCCACTCAGGGAGCGTTGGTAAATCAGTCAGTCAGAGAAGCAGTCGGCTGTCATATCCATCTGTCTCTGAACTCATTATTCTCTCTTATCCAAAGCAACGTACTCCGAGCTGGAGCAGACGTTTTACAGTTGATCACTTTTGATTAACTGTTGGACTCTTTGACTTTTTGGGGATATAACTGAAGGAAGATGCATTTCCTGAAGAAATTGTCGCACTGCTCTCTGCTGTTTGTTGCAGTAGATCGATTAGAAAAAGAAGGAAACACTGACATGGGCTGAGGTGTTTGTGGTGGTCGAAATCTAGTGAAAGGAGTTTGCATGGTTTAAAATGGAGCTGCTCAAGAGCAGTGACTGTAGTGACCTGAATACAGGGTTGGGAGCAGCGGGATGTTTTAGTTGAGTTAATATTGTGGTAGAGATTAAAGAAATGAGTTGAACAATTGGAGTTACTGCCAAGTCAAGGCACTGAAAGCCAATGTTTTTTTTTATTTCTATTTGTGTTATCAGGCTCTAAGCTGTGAAAGCGTAAGCTGGAGTGATGATGTATGAAGCTGTTAAAGATGTCAGTTGTGATTGTTGGAAGTTACCATTTAGTGTTGCCGCTGAGAGCTTCAATCGCACTGAAGGAGCTGAAACAGAATAAAAATCACAGTCAGTCCCAGTTTAATATGTTCCAAACATAAAAACATGGCTGACCAAACACTGCTGTTTCTTTGGCTGGTGTAGAGCAGATAGAACTGTCAGAAAGTGAAGCCTTCATGCGCATAAAAAACAAAGCATGAGGTGACAAACACCCTCAATTATTGAATGTTAGAACTGATTTGACTATAAAACAGGCCAAGCTAAATAAACAGGGTGATTTTGATCCTCTGCATATTTAGAAAAGTCTCCTTTCAGCATCAAACTGACGTCATGTTTCTGCAGATCACCCACACAGCGAACCCCCCCCGCCCCCCCCGCCCTCTACCTCCCCAGCCTGTTCACATGTAAATCAGTCTGGCACGGGCTGCTGTGTTGATGTACAATAGTTACCCCGCACATGGAATGTGTGTGTCTGTGTGTATAATTAACAAGATCTTCATCTTAGGAAGCAACCAGTAACGTCAATATAATACGTGAAATGCGCGTGTGTGTTTGTGTGTGTGTGTCTCCATAGTGACCCCAGCCCAACCAATCAGAGGTTGAACAAGAACGTGAACAACGACGTGTCTCTTCGCTTGTACAACTTGACCGTTCTCACCAGACACATCAGGACGTACTACCAGGTATGGACACGCAAATCACAACGGCTATATGCATGACTCAACAGCGAGATTTCAAGCAGTCTAGATGAAGTTCTTGAGTTCATCCCCTGTCCCCGTACCTCCCATGCATTAAGTTCCACCTCCGTAGAACTATTATAAAACTTCATGAGCACACAGATGCTATGGATTCACATTCATCAGCATGGTAAACAAGAGACAGAGGCAAAGGGGACTCCCTACCTTTTAAGTGGTCAGGTCTAAATGTGTGTCCTCTCCCCTTTTTTAATATTCCTTTTGTCCAAAACGGTCAACTGATCCAAGAGCTTAAATCCAGTCCTGTGAAGTCTTTTCTATTCACTGTCTGAAAACCACAATCAAACTGGTAGTTTGTCTTTGAGTACGCTTGTTTTCTTTACCTTTTGTTAAAAACAAATCAGACGTGATCCCTTCTCTCCCTGATAAGTTTCCCCTCTGTTTACGTTCTGTTGGATTGGGTTTTAGGGACCCAAGGGAGAGGTGTTGTGTTTTCAGCTTAGAGGTTTTGAAGAATTGAACGGGGTCATGCAGACGCACACACACTCATGTGGCTGAACAGTGTGTGTGTGTGGCTGTGCATGATGGGACACATTGGTTATACTATACTTCAGTATTGATCAGTTTTGAACTTGCTGGTCAATCATTGTTTTTGTTTTTTGACAACCAGTAGTCTGCAGGGGTCAATGGCAGCAGGAAGTAACACAACAAATCTCATAGTGTGAGACAGTCGGTTAATCTGATATAACGCTTACAGACACCTTATTTTTTCATGTTTGAATCATTTAATAAAGGGCCGCTTCAGAAGGGTTTGTGAGGTAGCTGCGCTCCTGTTAATGAAAGACAGATGTGCTCATCTTGCATTCACAGCTATTTCAGCACTATGCATTCTAATAGTGGATGTTGTTACAGGGGAAGAAACCTATTCTAAGAAACGTACAGCTGCAAGATCACAAACATATTGTGTCAGTCACAGATTTGCCAAACTTGACCGCAGAGGCTCGCACATATATAGGTTTGGTAGTAGAACCAAACCGCCAGCCTTTAGTGCTCTGAGTTCTGTTTGTCCAAATATTCACATAATGACTTTCACAACCAGGGGTTTTCTAGACCACGCATAAACCAGAAAGGATTTCCAATGTCAAAGCAATACTCCCATGTATATCATTGCCAACACTTCTCTCCGTGAGAGATCACAGTGATCCGGGTCCAGCCTGTCTGGTTCCAAATGATCGCTAGTTGATGTTGTAACCATTTATTTTACAATCTAATCGACTTTGTATTTATTATGTGAATACGGTGGGAATTATGTGATCTGGAGTTATCATAATCCATCCACATGAGCAGAGCTGCTTCACCCACGGCTGCACATTGCTGTTCTGTTTCCATCAATAGCAGCCATGATGGTTCTGGTCTTGGATGGATTAATGAAGTACTTTAATGAGCCTGAAAAGCTGTAATAAAGCACAGAACCCGTTTTTGCATCACAGGAGCTGTGACCAACTGCTTTGGTCAAGACAATGCCTTTGAATCTCAAGCCATTTCTACACTTTCATTCTGATCCGGTCCCTCAAACCACTCGGCAAAGTGGTGCGGGGTCACAGATCTCCTGTCGCATAAACACTAATGCATCATGCAGTGTTTCCCCTAGGTTTACAACTTCGGGGGGTCGGGGGGGTAATAGTTCCAGCCGAAGGGGGGGTAGTACACTGGTAGTACACATTTGGTATTTGTAACCGCCTTTGTCTTGAGTATGTCACATAATGCAGTAAAACACTAGTCCTGTGCCGCTTATGCTGATCAGACAACAATCGAGGCCACATCTGCTGCTAACTGTGTGTGCGTGCGTGCGCATGATGAAGTGGGTCATTCTGAGCAGTGTAGGGTTAATCTGTCCATAATAGTTAATCTCTAACCACGGGCCAAACCTCCACCATAGCCTCCACACACATGCAAACACCTCATATTACAACCTGAAGTCAATAAGTTATGAACCCAAGAACGCCACTTAGTTCAGGATCAGCCACGAGAGCAAGTCATACATAAACATACACACACATTTTTCTATCCAGTGGTTCATAAGGGGGTAGGCGTTTGCTTTCTCTTAATTAGATGATGTCTCAGCAGACACACGGCTGATCCAGTAACTCCTCCCAGTCGTGTGTGTGGGGGTGTGGGGAGTGTCCCTTCTGTTCGGTCTCTATTGTACAAAGCCCAGTAACCTGATCTCATGAGCTCTGCATCCTATCAACCCCTTTCCCTCTCCTGCTGAGTTGTTTCTTTATTGCTGGAATAAGTAACCCACTCCTTGTTTGACAGAAAATCAAATACGTTTTAGACTGTAGTTTTTCAACTTGGTGGTGAAAGCCTCTCAAATGTGTGGATTACAATTTGCAATGTTTAAATCATTGTAGAAGGAAAAGAACAAATCCTTACTCACAGGAGAAGCTGCGCCTCGAAGCTTGTTAATATTTTTCTGATTAAGAGGCTCAATAACCATTTTTATGGAAAAAAATATATGTATTCTTTATTATTATTCTATTTTCTGAAACGGTAATTGGAATCTGTGAGGTCATCGTAGGGCTAAATGGTATGGCCAAAAATCCATATAACTGTATTAACAAAGATTCTGACGGTATGCCGGTATATCATACCGCTATTGTTTTTTCAAGTAAACACATTAAGTCATTGACCCTGCAAAGGACTGCGGCTACCCGAACAGCTGTTCGCCGCTCACTGGTCAACTGGCCGGCGAGTTCGCTTGTTAACGTGTTAGCGTGTTAGTTTGTTAGCTCGTTAGCTTGTTGTGGCTGCTAGTGTTGCCACCAAAGGCTCGACAGACTTTGCAATAAATCATTTTCTAATCTAAAAACCAAAAACCCTCCAAACAGACACGGCTCCTCTCACAAGTTGTGTTGGTGCATCTCTGGTCTCTCCTTGTTCCTCCTGTTTCGTTCTTTTCCGTGTTTTCATGTAGCAGCAGAATTACTTCTTGTTGTGAGCTGTACAGCATGCAGTTCGTTAAATGTACAATTATTAGTGTTACAAATTGTTTGTGTCACAAGCTGTTGTGTCGTGGTGTTTTACCCTGTTAAAAAGTGTTTGTTGTGGCTTATTCATTGTTGTTATAAAGTTCTAACCATGACTCAATCTCAACACACGTAAGACAAGTAGCTCCGGCCGATGGGCGCTTCGCGATGACGTGTAAAAATAAAATCTGCCGCCTGCCGAAGGGCAACTTGGTTGTTATGAGTTGTTGTAATACCGGTATGAACGGTACGTGAGAAATTCATACCGTATGGAAAGCTTAAACCAATATAACTCCTCTGAATCCTAAAAAAAAAACTCAGAACGTCTTTACTGGAATCTACCACAGCCAAACCAACCAGAGCCGAGATCTCATGTGTTTAAACTGAGCAACAAAAGCAACACAAAAGAATTGTGGCACTGGGAACGCTCTTTACTCTCTGTTTCACTGTGCCTTTTTAAGGAATTGGTTCTCAAAATTAAACTTCCATGAGTTTGTGGAATGTTCTGATACAAGTAGCTCTGAAGTTGGCGTAAAAATAAAATGAAAATTACAATGCAGACTGTCCGTCAGGCAGCTGATAATAAAAGCGTGGAAGGACATAACTGGTGTGAGAAGTTACAGACTGAATCTGTGACTAAGTGTGTGAGCGTCACACCTCCTGCATGCAGAAGAGTGGGGCTCCCTGTGAAAGACGTTTTGTTGTTGAGAAGTAACCTAAGCAGAGCTCTCTTTCCTCACTCCACGTTACTCCTCCTTGGTAACCGTGGGAACGGCAGAACAAAGCCCAGAGACTACATAGGATGTTTTGAACTCCCATGTCCTCTGTAGTCTTTGTACGCACTTGCACCCTGTGATATTTAATGTGTGGGTCAGTGCACATGTGCAACTCCCCCTGCCTGTTTGTGTGTTGGTGTTGCTGACCCTGGTCAAAGTCATCAACGTTTTATTGACCCTAACTAACGTGTGTGTGTGTGTGTGTGTGGGAGGCTGAGGATTTAATTTAACATTACACCTAAGGTTGTTTTCAAAGTGATGAACTACAACTATTGATATTTCTTACCAAATTGAAAGAACATCTATGTTACAAAGTTTGAAATTGCTCTAAATACCATCAACTTGTAGAGCACAGCTCTGGCTAGTTGCTAACATTAGCTAACCATTATTACTACAGACATCGAACTTATTCAAAAAGGAACCTGATGGTTTTCTGATTATCAATATCTATAATAATATTACTTTATTGTCATAATTCTTTTGCATATGTATATAGGACAGAAGAAGAGTAACTACGGAGGATGAATGAGGCTTCACTTGTCTCCTTGTCAGTCGGCCTGCCAAATAGTCTGTTTACCAACAGAACCGTATACTGCAACTGCATGCAAACGCACCTCAGTTTGTACTGACTACATTAGCCTTTATATCGAAACATTTATAGGACAGTTGCATCACCTGGAACATTGGCCGTAAAGGACTGTTTGTAACTGTCTGTCAGCGTCAGTTGTAGAGCCGACCCATGAGACACTGGTTGGGACCACAAGCTGCACTACAGCGCCCCGTCGCTAACGGAACATTGATCGGTACGGCTCGCCCCTCATGGCTCGGCACACGTGTGGACTTTGGATTAAATACATGTTAAGCATCACAGGGTGATCTAAAGTTTTATCGATAATAGTTATCTGATCAGGACATTTCACTTCAGCTCTTCTAGTAACTGATCTCTGATAGTGGGGCAGCATCGCTAACAAACGACAGTCCCGTTCAGTTACATTATGAGGTGTTCAGGCTGTTCGGTGTAAACAATTATTGGGAAAAAGAAAATTATAATGCTGTCATCATGATGTGTTGGTTTGTGATCTTGTATAATGTGGTGTTAGTGCGAAGGACATTTGTTTTAATCATTAAAATTACAATCTGTTCAAGATTTGCACTGTCTCACCCCCTTTTTTATAAACTCATGAATGACTAACAAAGTAGAAGGATAACATTTAGATGTTCACAGACTTTAGAGTGATTAAAATTATGTGGATCCTTGTCGACCAGCTCTTATAATCAAACATCAAAGGGACCTGCCTCAGCCAATATTGACCATAAATAATTTCGAATTGGCATCCTGAGCACACACGTGATCAGCGATCAGCGTGCTTTCTCTTTCTCGCCGATCTATAGATATTCTCCTGCAGCAATTTACCCAGCTTGATCTCACACCTAAAAATGACCAGGGATCAATAGAGTCTGCTACATGACCCATTTAGACTCACACACGCAAGGCCTGGGTCTGTGGCCCACTAACACACACCGGGCTCACATGTCTAATCCCAGATCAATAACATGGGGATGTGACTACATCTAGATCTAAGACTTAGCAAACAAGCTGTTTTCTTTGGGCCAAACTGTATTGAGGTCAGCCTAATTGTCAAACAAATTCACGTTCGATCCCAACATCCTCTAGTCCATGTCGGTGTATCCTTGGGCAAGAAAATGAACCCTGCATTGCTTCCATGGAGCATGAATGTTGATGGGCAGGTAGCCCCTTGTGTGATTCACAGAGCGGTGGAGAATAGAGGAAGAAGGTGTAAACCTGTTCTATAGGAAAGGTAGCCTTGCTTGGATCTGCTGCTATATGGAAACTAAAACCTTCAAGACTTTCGACAACACTGATGTCACCAATGAGGTTAGAGCAAAGTCTGTTGACGGTCTTTATTTAGTAGTTTGTTTTTCATTGTTCTCCATCTGCAGTGTGTCTTGATGAAACAAAAAAAATCAATTTCAGAAAAAGCCTCCCGATTGGAGGTGTGATGACATCTGGTTGTGTGTGTGTGCGCTTGTGCTTGTGCGATCAACACAGACTGCATGGTCTCTCATTACCTCCTGGTGTATTATGGGCCAGTGTAACAGTATCTGCAGGTAGCTCGATGCCGGCACTCTCAAAGCTGTGACCGGGGTGTAAGCCGATGCCTTTATGCTCTCCGGTTAGCAGATGGCCCCCTAGGGCAGAGCTCTGTGTCTCTGATCCTGACCATCGACCATAATGTACACAAGCACATCACGAAGTATGTCAACTAACGTGGGAATTTTGCCTGTGTTTCCCTATTGTGAGAAGGTGTGTGTGTATTATTCCAGCCCGCCCCTCCCTGCTGACACCCAGACCAAACACACACACACACACACACACACACACATACTTCCCTTCTTCTCAGCCAGGGGTTGTGAGTTGGTCTCCTCCCATGTGTCCTTGTATACCTAATGTCTTCCTTTCTGGCGTTATTCCACTGTCCTGTTTCCTCATCGCTAAACAACTGGCTTTAACCATGAAATGAAATGTTTTGATAACGACGGTGCACCTCTGAGAGTTTACTAGAATAAAAAGTGTTTTCATTTGCCTAAGCTTCCCTCTTCCTGTCTGGACAATCAGGTGTGTTTGGGCGAACAACAGATGATATTCTGGAATGGAAAGCGTTCCCTCCTAGAGGGCTGTGTCCTTCCTGACACACACACACCCCGACTCTTATCGACAGCAGGGTTTCCTGTTGGCTGCTCGCCTATACACACACTCACACAAATATGTAGGTGCACAAGTCTGGGTCAGTTGGTGTTTGGACTTTGATTTCTTTTTTGCATCATCAAAGTTATTCCGACAATTGTGCAATTTTCATAACTGGAATTGGCCGGTTTCTTATAGAAATCCCAACAACATAATGAAGATAGTTACACATGGTCACACTCTATATATGCGTTCTTATCTATACATGATGAATATGATCAGCATGGCTCAAAGATTATTGAATTCAATTTCATTCTCAAATATGCCTGAAACAAATGTTTATTTTCAAATACATTCATATCTACCATTTCCCAATTGATAATGTAGTGGATGTTCTTCTCCGTCCAATCAACCCCCACCCCATCTTCTCTGCTGCAGGAGACCCTACAACAGTTAATAGTCATGCCCCTTCCTAACATCCTCTGCATCGCCAAGGATCCCATATCAGGTAATACACACTCCCACACACACCTCAGTGTCTGAGGGAACAAACAAACACACTGCGTTGCCATAGTTACATACACATAGGATCGGGTACCGAAAACCGGTGCCATATTGCTACCCGCTATATATATATATTATTGTTTAAACTGTTAATATTGTTTAATTTGAAGAAAAATATTGTTCCTTGGCAATTGAAAAACCTTTTTCTTTAATGTCATCAATTGCCACTTTGTGTTCAGGCACCGGTATCGGATAAAAACCCAAACCTTACCCGTCCCTGGTCACACACCGGCATTCTTCGGAGTCTTTTGTCAGCAATAACAAGTTAGCTGTTTCGTTGTGTTCTGTAACACACGCTTTGCACTATTTATTCAAACATTAAGCTCAAAGATTGACTCTTATTGACCATCACCTGCAATGTGACCTGCTTGGATTTGTGGTTTTTGTAAATATGCATTCTAATACACAGCGTGTCTTTGTTGTGTTTCCTCCAGCTAACAGCATGGAACAGCTGAAAAGACTTTTGTTACTGATACTCGGCTGTGCTGTCCAGGTAACGCATGCACACGCATACACATGCCTAAACCCAAACCCAGCAGCTCACTGTTCCACCCCGGCTCTCGGCTGGAAGTGGGGGTTTTCTATTTAGTTTTGCATGTCTGAGCAAAGCGAGGCCTGCTGATGAGGTACAGGGTGGGACGACAGTATCACAGTGTAGTCACATCAATGGCAGTAATAACCATTAGTGCTCTGGTGCTCTGTAATAAATATATTATTATATAATAATACTGGTCGGCACAGTTTGACGCTTTAAGAGCCATGCTAAACTTTCTGAGATCTACTTGATCAGCTCGATATGGCGAGTTGGCATTTAACTTGTGGTAAAAAGGAGGGGCTAGGTGGTTTCTCTCTCTGCTCAGTCCCCCTGTGTGTTTGTCGTCTCCATTGCTACCTCTCCCAGGGCTCGGAACCCACCAAAGGCTTTTTTGTTTTGTTTCTCCCGTCGTCGATCCCACCTTCCTACTTTCCCCTCCCTCTGTTTGTTTCCCTCCCTATCTGTACTGGTTCTACTGGTTTCCAGGAAAGAGGCCACGAGGGAGCCATGAATGGAAAGGTCGGGAGGAAGAGTCGGAAAGCCACATGCAAAAATCTGTTTCAATGTTGTTCAAAATAATCACTTTTCCATCTCAGCAGGGGTCCTATTAATGTTCATATAACAAACTGGCATCCCTCGGCACATATCCTGCAACTCCCACAATCCTGTTCTGCTCCACACAAATGTGATGGCAACAAAGAAACATTAGAGCACAGTTTGAAACGATTTTGCTATTTTCATTCCCTGCTCTGTGTGTGTGTGTGTGTGTGTGTGTGTGTCAGTGTGAGCGTAAGGAGGAGATGATAGAGAAGATCAAGCTGCTGGACATTGAGACCCAAGCTGCCATCGTCTCTCACATCCAGGAGGTCAGTTGAGCGCCACGACACAGACGTGATCAAAGTAAAAGTTCCAGTATTTCTTGTGATGTTTTGCCCAAGCGTCGTAGAATTTATCACTCAACATGATTTCCAAAGACCACAGGAAAAACACGTAAATATTCCGCCCATGGCCTCTGAACTACCTTTACAGATTTCTTTTAATCAAATCTGTTAATTAATAGTTTTCCCTTCTCGCATGTGATTGTCTCTGGTTGTCTTGCCGTTCTATGATAACAGACTCACTATCTTTGATCTCATTCATGTTTTTATTTAAATAACTGATCCAAAGTACTATAACGCTAGAATTTTTGGCTGCTTACCCTGACTGCAGAGCGTTTGAAATGAATATCTGAGATAAATCAGCATCTGTGTCAACAACAAGAAAACGTTGTTTTTTTCCTGCCGATCAAATGTGTGACTCAAAACCAAGGGTACGATCCCAGGTACCCTTGTCCGTTTATCCATCTTTGAGGCATGAAACAGTCCAACATCAAAGACGGAAGTAATCTCCTTAAAGAAATGTGCTCTGTCCTCGTTCCACAATGGGCTACCCTAATCACGTTACCACGCCGGTAAACCTCTGCAGCCCAACACACACTCTTTGACTCCGTCATTACTCGCCGTGTGGACAGGCATTGTCCCGAGGTCTCCAACTGAATGAAAACAGTCAAGCCAAATTATAGCAGTAACAAGTTTAAGGAAAATGCGAGTCGAATGTTCCATTTAATCAAACGGTGCAGCTGTAGAGTGTCACTCAGGTTTTTTTCACGTTGGTACAGATTTTTTTTCATCTTGTCTGTCCGGCCAGGTGACCCACAACCAGCTGAATGTTCTGGACCTGTCTTGGCTGGAGGAAGGATCGGAGCTGGACCAAGAAGAGCTGGAGCCTCTGTCCCGCAACATGGCTGCGTCGCTACAGCAACTGATTGACCAGAGAGACAAAGCCAGTGAGGTAGAGACTCTCGCATCAACGTATTGTGTATATGGGTAGAAAAAAACATATGTAAGAAAAATAGGGAGAACAAGGAGCTGCAGAAACGGGAGACAAATCACAGAAACCATGCAAGTTCATTGGCTATCTATTTCACCCGAAATAAAATGTAATTAACGTATGTAACACATCCAAAAGAGCAGAAGTGTCCACATACAATAGCCTACTTACGGAATGGTTTCCATGTTTACAACTTTCCTGCTCTTTGTTAACAGCCGCTAGCTCATTTGACACGTGACTGTTGTCTGTTTGATACGTAATATCAAACCGATATTATTGTAAGTCGCTTTGGATAAAAGCGTCAGCTAAATGACATGTAATATAATGTAATATCAAATTCTGCGCTCAATATATTTCTGATAGGAAAAAGTAATTGATAATAAATGGTATTTAGGAAATCTCATTATGCTAAGCTAAGATTTGGTTATTTTTCCTGATGGAATGTTTCTCTTCCAGGTGATTGTTGATCTGACCCAAGAGAGGGACTACCTGTCCAGTCAACAGCCCCAGGAAGGATGCAGAAAACTGGGCACGAGCAGCCCAGTGCGAGGGAAGACTTCTGAAATAGTGGGAGTAAATAACAGTGGCTCGTATGCGGCAGTGGCTGGGCTCACCAAGGAGGAGAAGCAACATCTGTCCGTGGAGCTTGCTGACACCAAAGCCAAGCTTCGCAGATACAGACAAGAGCTGTGAGTGTGGATCACGTGACCACTTGTCATAGGGGCGACCCCATGTGGCTGAAGCAGTACACTGCTACACACCACGCCAAGAGGTTTCTGTGGGTAGCACTGCGGTGAAACCCAGCAGCTGAAAGCCATTATACTTGCAAACAGCTTATCATGCTGTCTAGTTCTGATGTGTAATGTAATCACATAGGTGGATCCATTTATTTATAAATAAATATAACTATACACTGCAGAATAGACTGTCTGGAAATAGCTATATTAAAGACTTGCAGTAAGTCTACAGTGTGTTTCTGCAAAGTAATTTCTATTTCAAATTACCATCAATTTTACATAATTACTGTGTATGTGTGTGTGTGTGTGTGCATCCATGTGCGCAGGGAGGAGAAGACAGAGCAGCTGATGGATTCAAAACATGAAGTAGAGCGTCTGGATCAGGAATTACAGAGACAGAAACAAGAGGTCAGGACCTGTTTATCACCTGTAGTGTCATGTGTGTGTGTGTATATATGTATATCTACATATATATATATATATAGCAACCTTTTTAATGTCCGAGAAAAACATTGCAGATTCTGTAATGAAAATGATGGGTAATTTAACTGTATTTACGTTGACATATATGACAAAACATTTTGTTTACCGGAAACTTTCCACCCCTTTGCAATCCTACATAATACATCAATTTCTCTTTGTAAACTAAGCTGATAGAATTGTTTTCCTTTTTGGAAATTAGCCCGATAATACATTCATACATACCCCCACAGACTTCTGGTGTCTGATGGTGCTTTTTATTCATTCATTCATTTATCCGTTCCGCTGATCCTAAGAGAGTTGCGGGGGGGCTGGAATCAATCCTGGCTAACGTCGGGCGGGAGACAGGGTACACCCTGCTGTGCTGGTCACCAGTCAATCACAAGGCTGACACCGAGACAAACAACCATTCACATCTCATATAGATTAGATTAGATTAGATTAGATTCAACTTTATTGTCATTGCACAGGGTACAAGTACTGAGGCAACAAAATGCAGTTTAACATCCAACCAGAGTGCAAAATAGCAAAAAGTGCAGAGTATGTGCATATGTAAAGTGTAATAAGTGAATAAATAGATATGTACAGTAAGAAATGGATATGCAATAACAGTGCAAATGTTCAGTGGGCTGGAGGAAGGTGTGTGGCAGTCAAGCCAGGGTGGAGGGGGGGGGGGAAGTACAGTCACTTGGGGGAGATCTGTGTGTGGGGGGTGGGGGGGCAGGGTTTCAGAGTTCAGGGGGGGCAGAGTTCAGTAGAATTGGCAGCCGCAGGGATGAGCTGTTCCTGAACCTGCTGGGTCTGGGAACGGAGCACCCTTGTAGCGCCTCCCAGAAGGGAAGAAGGGCAAACAG